AAGAGAGCGATTCACACCAGACATCCCAAGAATATTGCTACACTGAAACAGTTTTGTGAAGAGGAGTGGTCCAAAATTACTCCAGATCGTTGTGCAGGTCTGATCTGCAACTACAGGAAACGTTTGGTTGAGGTTATTGCTGCCAAAGGAGGGTCAACCAGTTATTAAGTCCAACGGTTCACATACTTTTTCCTCCCTGTGCTGTGAATGTTTACATGTTATGTTCAATTAAACCATGACAACATGTAATGTTTGTGTATTATTATTTTCAGCAGACTGTGTTTTTCTATTGTTGTGACTTAGATGACGTTCAGAGCACATTTTATGACCAATTCATGCAAAATTCCGCGTTATCCCAAGGGGTTCACATACTTTTTCTTGCAACTGTACATAATCCATATATGGCTAGGATGTTGTGTTTGGCTGCATAATTCAAGACTTTATAAATTATTACAAGACAAGAGATTAATTCAATATTCTTCCACATTTACTATTGTAAATCACAGTAAAACCTGCCTTTCTTTAGAATGGACTGAAAACAACAAAATGGCCTCATAGGGTAAAGTTGGCCTAATCGGAGTGGGGTTAGGGGACCTTCTGAAAATAATGGACCAAACAAGTTAAAACATGGCTTTAACGCCACCCTTATATATATATATTTCTCCCCACTTTTCATATACCATTTGGTCTTATGGCTCATTTTTTGAGAAATCCGGAAGCTTACTAAAGGTTCTGTCTCTAAATAGAGGTCAGACTTTTTATGATAATCAACAGCTGCTACATTCTTTATGGACCAAACTTTGGAGAAAAAGTAGTCAAGGATCTAACAGGCTGTGAACCTGTATTGACTGAAAGCCAATGAACCATATTGAGTATCTTGAACACAACCCAATGTTTTCAACACTGCTTATTCAACAGCTACTGAAAACATATTTATATTACGATCTTGTGTTCTATTATGAATTCCACTGGACACAGCGATGTTATTGGGGAGCAGAAATTATTGGAATGACATTTATTATTGTAAAAGCTGAATTGTTCCTGGTAACCCCTATTGCTTGAGATTCCAGAACTTTCATGCCAGTTCTGTTCTTATTTTATCCCTGTATCTACGCATAACCTCAGAAAATATATTTAGACCTTACCTTCACTAATTTACTTTTCAGCCTTCGCTCCTCCATTCTTTTCTTTAGCACCTCTACGTCCTCTTTACTGCCATTAAGAACAATTACATCGTCATCTTGAAAAGGGATCCCACACTTTAATAAGGGAAAAAATGTTTGTTTAAAAACACTGTTTATGATATGGTACAATTCCAAACAGTAGCACTAGAAAGTAAAAGATATATTATTAATATTGCAAATATTTTATTAATAAAAAGAAACCCTAAGCTAAACTAGATTTAAATGTGTAGCTTGTACCACAGATCTGTAATTAGGCATTTGCTTTCTCTGCCACATAACTTTTTTATTCATTTTCATTCATTAAATAAGGATATATCAACCATAGAGACCTTCGAGTTTCTAGGTTCTATAATATCTCAAGACTTAAAATGGACACCTAAGATCAAAAAAGTCAAAAAAGCACAACAAAGAATGTTCTTTCTGGGCCAACTCAAAGAGAGCTCAAACTGCTAAGGAGCTGCTAATACAGTTCTACAGAGGAATTATTGAATCTGTCATCTGCACCTCTATAACTGTCTGGTTTGGCATGGCAACCAAGCAAGACAGACACAGACTTCAATGGATAATAGAACTGCAGAAAAAACAATTGCTAGTAACCTGCCTTCCACTGAGGACCTGTATACTGCAAGAGCCAGAAAGAGCGCTGTGAAAATATCTACAGACCCCTCACATCTGGAAGTAAACTGTTACTACTTCTACCCTCAAAATGACACTATAAGGCATTGCATGCCAGAACAACTAGATCCAAGAAGAGTTTTTCCCCCCCATGCCATCACTCTGCTAAACAACTAATTCCCACAACACTGTCAAATTATCTAATAAGGCTGTAATACTATTATTCTTCTCATCTTTCCTATTACCTATTTCCTTATATTCTTATGACTATAATTTTGTGGCTTGCATCTTATGATTTGTATTGTTTTATTTAGTATCCTAGTATGATTTATGTTGATAGCTTATTTAGTATCCTATGACTATCACTAAGTGTTGTATCTTATGATTTATGATGAATGTATTTTTATGACTATGATCATGATTTATCACTTATTGCTTGTATGTACACTGAGAGCTTATGCACTGGAGACAAATTCCTTGTGTGTCCAATCACACTTGGCCAATAAAGAATTCTATTCTATTCTATTCTATTCTATTCTATTCTATTCTATTCTATTCTATTCTATTCTAATTCTAATTCTAAAAATACCTATAAGGTTGGACCAATATTCGCCACCGCCGCCATCTTTTATTAAAATTCTACACATAAAATAAATATAGCAAACATAATTCACCAAAAAAAAGTCACTGGGGAAAGCTGGATCCGCTTAACAACCATGTGATTCATTTCATAATCATGGCGATTTGCTTAATGACCATAGCAAAAAGGTAGTAAAATTGGGCACAACTCATTTAATGACTGCTTCACTTAATGACAGAACTTCTGATCCCACTTGTGATCATAAGTCGAAGACTACCTGTAGCATGTAAGTGGAACCTAATGAGATGTGTCAATCACAGCCAACATATTTTGTAGATCATACAAGACTTAAAAACAGTCTGCAGTTTTACATTTTCTGGGACTCGGCGTCCCTCCTACCAAAAAAGAACATGAAACTACCTTATAGCAGATCAATATGTTTATCTCTCCAACAATTATTATAAATTTGCCAGATATTGGAATCTCCAGGGGAAAGTACTTGTTATCTATGTGACAAAGTTTTAAAAAATCTCTCTCAAAAAGCTAAAGCCAGCTTCTACAGAAAAAAAAAGGATTAAAGCATTAACAACATTATTTGGAGGTGAGTGAATTGCATTCCAAGGAGAAATGAGGAGAAAAGGCAGATATCTGAACAGTGAGGAAATTGGCTAAGGAATCGGCATTACCAAATTCGTCAACACTGTGTACAGCGAATTCTTGATTGGCAAGTTGCAATCTATATTTCCTGTTCTGGACAGAGTTTCTCCCCATTCTCTCAAACTATCATGTTGCTGGGAAATTGAGAAATAATAAAGGCAGGAAGAGATAAGAATAGGAGTGCTTCAAATTGTTGGGCATCTATCTTATTACATCAGTGAAGCTTTCTTTTTGCTAAAACTCAAGAAAGTCCTTCTATTTCTCTAATTGCTGAGAGAATCCCATTGTTTGTTGTGTACAGGATCTCCTCTAATAAATTCTTTGCCTCCTTACCAAAGCTGTGCAAAAGTAAGCTTTTTTCAGGACACTCAGTTGCAGTCATGTGTGAACTGTTGATCAAAACAAATTGGAAAGGTTTAAAGAGGAGAGTGAAGGTCTATAAGTGGAATCCATTAAATGGCCAGTTAGATTTATACAACACCTGAATTTTCCCTCTTCCTTTTTAAAATGGTGGGGCCCAGTACTGAAAATAATCTTCTTATGTGCAAGCAAATAATACACAAATTCGGTATGACTACCAATATGATTGCGTTGTCCAGAAGCATCAGATACAAATACTCTTCAACATCTTCATAAATGATCTAGATGAGGACATAGAAAGGGAACTCATCAAATTTACAGATGACACCAAGCTGGCAGGAATAGCTAACCCTTTAGATCAGACATGTGAAACTCGTGACGTCATATGACGCCGCGTGACGTATCGGGACGGTTTTGCCATTGCCAGCAATGGGGTTGGCGCGACTTCTGGATGACGCGTCCGGCCCACGGGCCGGCAGTTTGACACCCCTGCTTTAGATGATAGACTCAACATTTAGGAGGACCTGAATGTTGGACCCTATCCCACAAAATTTAACTCAGTAGTGAAAAAAGTAAGGTCCTACACATAGGCAAGAAAAACCAAATGCACAGATATGGAATGGCTCAATAGTAGCAACAGGGAGAAAGATCTAGGTGTCCAAGTAGACTACCACTTAAGTATAAGCCAGCAGTGTGCCACAGCTGCCAAAACAGCTAATGCAGTGGTTCTCAACCTGTGGGTCAGGACCCCATTTGGGGTCGATCGACCATTTCATGGGGGTCGCCAAGCAAGGCTGTCTGCCATTTTTTTTGTCCGCCATTTTTTTTGTCCGCCATTTTTTCCCCTTTTCCAGCGGGTGCCTTACCTCCCTTGGGCTGGGCCAGCTGGTGGTCGGCCTGCTCCGTCTCTGCCGCTTGCCAGCTACGCCTCGGCCAGCGCAGGGGGCGGAACCACGCATGCGCGGTGCTCCCGGGCAGGGAAAGTGCTCGACTTACGACCGGTTGGGTAGTCCTCGACTTACGACCGGTTTAGTCCTCGACTTACGACCGGGTTTAGTCCTTGACTTACGACCGGTTGGGGTCGCGGCATTATTTATTTATTTATTTATTTATTTATTTATTTATTTAGACTTATATGCCGCCCTTCTCCCTACAGGACTCAGGGCGGCTCACAGCATATTAAAACAACACAAACATTTTCCCCAATAAAAGCCAATTAAAAACAAATATTTAACGCTGTGTTAATTAAAATTCTGATTAAAATTGTCCCTATTTAAAATTCTCCCTAGGCCAG